CTTCCACATAATTGTGAATAATTTTTGACTTTTATCTCTGAGATTCAGAGTGGAAGATGCAACATATCACGTAGCAGAGTGGTAATACTGTTGCTTCCAGATATTGCAAAACTGCCTCTGATATGAATGAGACAGCCAATTCCGTAAATGATGCCTTGATTTGTTTGCAGACTTTTCCATGAGACTACAGAAATGCATATCATCTTTAACCTATGGCCATTCTGTCAGGGACCAATTAAAGTTAGGACAGTATTACTATAACCCATCCTTGGAGTTCTGACTATGTCAGCATCCCTATAGCCCACACGGTTGCTGTCTTGCTGCTGACAACCTGTCTGGACTTAAGACTTTCAACCTTTCCTGCTGGCTTGCCGAGAAAATCAGTGGGGAAGCTGGTAGAGAAGATCACAGGTTTCTGGGAATAAGTCTCTGCCACTTATGCATCGTCTCCCAGCCATCCTGATTATTTATTTTTTATTTATTTATTTGATTTGTCAATTGTTTACAAGATAATAAGTACAAGTGTATACATAGTTGTGAATATATGAAATGGGTACATAAAAGAAAAATAAAAGAATAAGAGAAACAATAGGACAGGGACGGTAGGCACGTTGGTGCGCTTATGCACGCCCCCTACAGGCCTCTTAGGAAAGGGGTGAGGTCAATAGTAGACAGTCTAAGGTTAAAGTTTTTGGGGTTTGGGGAAGAAACTACAGAGTCGGGTAGAGTATTCCAGACATTGACCACTCTATTGCTGAAGTCGTATTTCCTGCAATCAAGTTTGGTGCGGTTTACTTTGAGTTTGTATCTGTTGTGTGCTCTTGTGTTGTTATGGTTAAAGCTGAAGTATTCATTGACAGGTAGGACATTGCAATGTATGATTTTATATACCATGCTTAAGTCGGACCGAAGACGGCGTAATTCGAGGTTTTCTAGTTTTAGAATTTCGAGTCTGGTGGCATAAGGTATTCTACAACGGGTAGAAGAGTGGAGAACTCTTCTTGTGAAATACTTCTGGACTTTCTCAATTGTGTTAATATCACATACGTGATAAGGATTCCAGACTGATGAACTGTATTCGAGTATTGGTCTAGCAAATGTTTTGTATGCTCTGGTTAGTAGTGAGATATTACCAGAGAAAAAGCAACGTAGGATTAGGTTAACAACTCTTAATGCCTTTTTGGCTATGTAGTTGCAGTGGGCTCTAGCACTTAGATCATTAGAGGTGAGTATTCCCAGGTCCTTTACAGAGCTTGGGTCATCAACAAGATCTTGACTATTCAGCTTGTATTTTATTTTCTGATTTTTTTTACCAATATGTAAGACAGAGCATTTATTTGTTGAGATTTGAAGTTGCCATATGTTAGACCATTCAGATACATAGTCTAGATCTTTTTGTAGGGTAGTAGTATTGTCTGTGGTATTGAACAGCTTTACATCATCAGCGAAGAGAACGCAATTGCTCTTGATATGATCACAAAGGTCATTTATGTAGATTATGAAGAGAGTTGGTCCTAGAACACTGCCTTGGGGAACACCACTATTGACAGGTACTGGATTTGATAGGGCGTTCCCAATTTTGACCATTTGTTGTCTGTTTGACAGGAATGCTTCTATCCAGTTATTCAGTTGTCCAGAGATACCATAAGATTTTATTTTTAGGAGTAGTTTGTCGTGTACCACTGAATCAAAGGCTTTGCAGAAGTCTATGTAGATTGCGTCTATTGCTTTGCCCTGGTCAAGTTGTGTAGTCCATATGTTTTTGCAGTGTAAGAGTTGCAGATTACAGGATAGTTTTTTTCTGAAACCAAATTGTTTATTGGAGAGTAGGTTGTTTGTCTCTAAATGGAGGATGATGGATTGGTTAATAATTGATTCCATGACTTTACAGGTGACGCAGCATAAGGAGATTGGTCTGTAATTTTCAACTAGGCTTGGGTCTCCCTTTTTGAAGATGGGGATGACTGTGGCTTGTAACCATAGGTTGGGCAAGGAGCTGGTTCTGAAAGATTTTTCAAAGATTATGCTTAGAGGTTTGGCTATGGCAGTGGATAGTTTTCTTAAGAAGTAGGCACATATTCCATCCGGTCCAATAGATAGAGATGGTTTTAGGTTGCGTAGTGCTTTATCAACGTTGTCTACTGTAAAATCGATATGTATTAGATCATTATTGTTATCTGTGGTACGGCTAGGAAACATTGGGCATGATCCATTACTGTTTACAAACACTGAGCCGAAGAATGTGTTAAAGATGTTGGCTTTAATGGTGTCGTCGCTGCAGTCTTTACCATCAGGTCCTATCAAGGGAGGGATGGACCTTGAGTCTTTTAGTTTGTTGTTTACAAAATTGTAAAAAGCACGGGTGGAATTGGTGCTTAGAAGGTTTTCCTCTTGTTTAATGTGGTAATTGGTGCATTCGGTCTTTATCTGGTGGCATAAATTTTTGTATCGGTTTTTGAAATTAGCAACGTGACCAGATTTGTTTTTCCGCCAGAGTGATCTCTTTTTGGATTGAAGTTTCCTTATTGATATGGGTAATCTGCTTTTTTGTTTTGTTTTGGGAGTTGTTGTTGGAACATATAGTTTGATGACTCTTTTGACTTCAAGTAAAAATATGTTGTAATGGTCTTCAACAGTATTGCATCCAGTGAATAGAGATTGCCAATCGAGGGATGAGAGATCGTTATCTATAAGATCATAGTTGCCTTTTTTGAAGTTACAACTAGGGATGACATCATTGTGGTGATTTTTGTGTGGACGTATGTTGAGGCAAAAGTCAATCATATTGTGGTCACTACTGGAAAAGGGTTCTTTGGTTTGTATTCGGTAAATTAAATTCAAACTATTGCAGAAGATGAGATCGAGGCAGTTGTTCAGTCTAGTGTTGTTGGTTACTAGTTGTTCAAGACCTAGATTTGTAATAGCATTGTAGAAGGTTGTGTGTCTGACACATCTACAGATTTTCCTTGACCCAAAGTCTCACATCATGCAGGGAGTACAGGGAGGAGGTACAGAGTCTAGCTACATGGTGCGCTGACAATAACTTATTATTCAACACTAAAGAGCTCATTGTGGATTTCAGGAAGAAAAATCCTTTCTCCTATATACATCAATGGGAGAATGGTAGAACGTGTCACCAGCTACAAGTTCCTGGGGATCCACCTTTCTGAGGACCTGTCCTGGCAGATTAACACCACCAGCCTGATCAAGAAAGCTCACCAGCACCTCTTCTTTCTGAGATTATTGAGGAAGAACCACCTTTCCCCAACTATTCTGATCAAATTCTACCGCTGTGCAGTCGAGAGCATCCTAACCAGCTGTATCTCAGTCTGGTATGGAAATTGCATCATTAAAGAAAAGAAGGCATTACAGAGGGTGGTGAAAACCGCCCAATGCATTATAGGGATACCACTTCCTGCCATTGTGGACATTCAGAGGAAACGATGTCTGCAAAAAGCCCACAGCATCATTAAGGACTCCTCCCATCCAGCCCACAAACTGTTTACCCTTCTTCCATCTGGGAAGAGGTTCAGGTGCCTGCAGTCCAAGACCAGCAGGCTAAGGAACAGCTTCTACCACACGGCGGTCTCCTTACTGAACTCCTCAACTCGTCTATCCCCCCACACACACACACTGATACTTCCCCTAATAATTTTATATCTTGTATAAACTCTCTGTGCATTATCCTTATATTCAATATGTTCATAAACACTCTGTACAGTCGTATATATTTCTTCCATAGATATATATTCTGTATATTCATAGATATTCTGTATATCCATATATAGTCATATATTTTGTATGTATGTATGTATGTATGTGTATAGGCTGTCAATCATTTGGAAGCCTGCACTCACAAACAAAAAAATCTCCACACCACAAGCCAGGCAAACACCTGGGCACAAACAGATCCCCCCTGATACCTCCAGCTCAAACACACCCCAACCAGGCACCCAGATGAAACCCAGCTTCCTAACTAATGATAGCCGTCCATTTACCCGAAGCCAAGCTGCACTAAAGGCCTCCATTAAAGTAACACAATGCTGCCAGCCAATCAAGATACAAAAAGAGCCAAAAAACAGACAGAAGATATCAGAGACACCCATCAAGCAGAACACAGCAAACTCCGAGACCAATAAACACAGACCAAGACTCCCAACCAATCAGGATGAAGAAAAAACCATTCTGGCACAGCAATAGGCTGCCCCAAATTTAAATCTGAAACCACTGTAAAAGTCTGACCCACAGACGGACACAATACAGAAGCCTGATGATGGCAGATGAGATTCTGCTGAAACGTTGCTACAACTTTAAAAGAACTACAATGACGTGGGAAAATACCCGAACCAAGCCGAACACCATACATGTAAGTACCCGCGAAAACTTAAGAAAATTATATATATATATATATATATATATATATATATATATATATATATATACACACACACACACACACACACACACACACACACACACACACACACATACATACATACATACATACATACATACATACATACATCATTGCTGTTTTGCATTTCTGGTTAGATGCTAACTGCATTTCATTGCCTGTGTCCATGTGCAATGACAATAAAGTTGAATCTAATCTAAACTAATCACTTGTACACACTCCCCACCTCCCTCACACCTCTCACTTCATCACCTGGCAGCAGCCACTTATCTACCTGCTGGCCTGGGACTTGCAACTTCCTGCCAGTTTCCCCACTTAACTTTGGTTGCAGGAAGCCGGTAGGGCATTGCCACACCTAAGAACTGTAGGATTCTGTTTTGGAGGGAAAGCTCTTGCTTCCCATATTTTTCCCCAGTCTTCATTATGAACTCTGATAACATTATTTTTGAGGCAAACAAAGCTTTGTTATATTTTATTTCTATAACAAGAAATAACTTTTTTCTACTGATAAGAGGTATCCTGCATTAAAGAAAAGCTAAATGTATGCATTTTCAAAGGGTATGAAATTGTTGTTTGTACACTTTTATCAGATTTCAGCAGCTTCATCTTCTCTGAAGACTCTTTGAAAAATCACCTTGATGCTCTCCCTGGTCCAAGATCGTTTCTTTCTCCCAACCAGAAAATAGACCACAGGGTTAACACAGCTGTTTAAAGAAGCACTTGGAGCTAAGTAGAAATTCAGTTCAAGAATATCAAACAAATACCTCTTGTTAAGAAAATGAGTAGTGAACACATAGATATATAAAGGAAGAGTAAGAATAAGGAAACAGAGAAGAGTAATTAAGATCATCACTAAAAGTCTTCCACGTTTGATCTGTTTGGATTTAAGACATATTTTGAAGAATAGGATCACAGTAGAGGTTGTGATCAATGGAAGGCAAAGCACAGCACTCACAACCAAATGGAAATTGCAGATTTCATTATATAAAAACAAATATTGTATAATGTTACATATTGCAATCAGGAAGAAAGAGAAGATCCAGAGGAAGACACAGACAACTGAGGACAAATATTTTGGCCGGGAACAACGATGCCAGATTGGGAAAAGGACAGCCACACACCGGTCAATGCTGATGGCTGTCAGAAGAAATAGACCATTGATATATGTAGCACTGAAGAGAGTAATGAAGATTTTTAAGGGAATTCCTGGCTGTATAAAATATTTAAAATTTTGAGTGCAATTTATAATCATAAGCATAATAATAATTATCATCATAAATATAAGAAACCCAAAGTCGGCAATAGCTAAATTGAGAATCAACACGGTGAAAGGGTTTCTCTTAATTTGAATGCCAAGTAGCCAGATAACAATTCCATTTAATGGGACTCCCATACAGCAGATGATGAATACGAATGAGCTCATGATAATTTTAGGATAATCTGACATAGTTTGGTTTTTGTCGAAAATGTTGGTAGTATTATAGTCCAAATAATCTTGTGTAACATTCATGTTTGCCAAGCTAAATTCATCAATGTACTTTTATAATCCTCCAATAGTCTCTTCTTTTACAATGGAAGTTCCTATTTGAAGAAAAAAGAGCAGATTGTATAAAATAAACCATCAAAAATTGTTGGATCTTCGTATTTAACAGCTTTGTGTACAGACTGAGCCAACTATTTGACCTTTTTGACCTTATGATTATTTGATCATCCTAATGATAGCGATAGCTGCTTTGGGTGCACTTGTGAAACAACTTGAGCACTACTTGAACACCATCAACACTGACAAATTCACCCCTAGCCAATTGCAAAAGGCTGAGAACATCTTACATCAGTGGTGGTATTCAGCTTTACTGAGAACATCTTACATCTGTGGTGGTATTCAGCCAGTTCTCACCGATTCAGCTGAACCACTAGCTAACTTTTTCTGCAGCTAACTTTTTCTGCAGCTTGGTGAACCGGCTGATCCCATCACAGGCTGGTTCCATCCCCTGCCCTTCCCTTCCCAGCCACTCTTTGCCTGAGTATATGAAAAGCTTGTTCATATTACAAGAAGTGAATTTGTTTGTGTGCAATATCAGAGATCGATATCAATTACAGACAGATGGAAGCTACGGTGAGAAGTGCAGTGCAACCCCTGCAGGCTGGAAGATAAGGTCAACAGTATGTATACACTTATACTTATTATCTTGTAAACAATTGGCAAATCAAATAAATAAATAAAAATAAACAGTGAGGAAGGGGGACCAGTTCCATTCTTATTGTGCTCGGCTGAAGGGGACCTCAGGGGGGACATGGCAAGGCTCAGCCAACTTTCAGGACTGCCTCTCGACTTCCACAGGGCCTCCATGAGGGAGGCCCAAGAGAAATCCTCTGGTCCAGGCACAAAGTGCCCCAGTGCAGCGTTCTCCCCAATGGGCCCACCCACTTGCAAGCAGCACCCGCCTGGAGGTCTTGCAGAAGCTGAGAGGCGGGTGCAAAAGATGGCCGAGTCTTGATATTCTGTCCAAGGCAGACTGCACCCTTCGACTGAATGTAGCAGCCATGGAGCTGGTTTCCCTCCCCCACCGTCAGCCTTACTTTCCAGCCCACGGGGCTCATGCTACTCTGCTCACTGTGGCTGCCCGCTCTCTGTAATTTTGATATTGCACACAAACAAATTCACTGCTTGTAATATGAACAAGCTTTTCATACACCCAGGCAGTGGTGGGATTCACCTGTGGAGGGCTGTATGCCCAGACTAGGCACTTCCTCTTGGGCCTCCTGCCTCACAGGGGGTGGCAGGAGGAGGAAGTGTGTGGCTGGGAAGGCTGCCTGTAGTTCTTGTAGCCAAAGCCGGGGTGTTTGCGAACCCACAAGTATGTATGAGGTCTTCCGCTTTGAGAAGAAGGTTGAACTAGAATAGGGGTTGCCAACCTCAGGGACCACCAAACTCATAATTTTAAATCCCATGGACCAGAGACCCTGGGAAAATCCAAAAAAAAGTCTGCAAGAAAATTCCCCACCCCATTTTCCTACCAATCGATCATTCTTTATTGGAATCGCAGGATACCGTCTCCAGCTTCGGTCTCAGGGGAGAGAGAGAGAAAGAGAGAGAGACTTTTGGCTTCATGCAAGGAAAGCAGCATAAGCAGCAGAAGTCTTTCTTTCTCTCCCCAAACTCTGCCAGAAATGAATGTTTGTGAGACTTGTCATGCTGATGCAGCCTTTTGAAGCAGGATGCCTTACAGGGTCCCAAAGACTCATTTCCGGCAGAGTTTGGGGGAGAGAAAGAAAGACTTTTGCTGCTTTCCTTGCATGCAGCCAAAAGCAGAAGAAGAAAGAAGCGGAAAGAACCAGCCCAGTGGCCAGGTGAGGCATGTGGGGTGAGTGGGGCAAGTTCCCCCCTCTGCCCTTTCCCCCCTTTCCCTCACTACCCTGTGTTTCCAAAAGGCAAGCAACACAAGCCTTGTGTTCCCGCAGGCCATGTGGGCGGCGCAGCCTTGTGTTCCTGTGCAGCCTGGATTAATTGCTTTGGGGGGGGGGAGTCTTTGGAGGTAACATTTCTCTGCGGACCACCAAAATTTTCTCATGGAACACCAGTGGTCCCCGGCCCACTGATTGGCAACCACTGAACTAGAAGACCTCCAGGGTACCTTCTAGCCTATGATTCTTAATTTGATTTGATTAATTTGATTAATTTGCTTAAATTGTGTCTATGTCTGTGTCTGTATGTGTGTGTGTGAAAGAGAGAGAGAGTGAGAGAGAGGGAGGGAGGAAGGGAGGGAGAGGGAGAGAGAGGTGGCTTCTTCGGAGTGCATTTTGGAGAAGTGTCAAGAGAAATGCTAAAATGGCAATCGCCTTGGGATTAAATTCCATATTAAATTGGGTCTTCAGGGTAAGGAGACATGAAGAACATTCAACTGCAGGTTTCTAAAAATCTATTAAAATGAATGTCTAGACGCAGCTCGTTAACTCATTAGTCCAGAGGGAGCAAAACAGTTAGGGTCCCAATGGGGGGTCTTAGTGTATTTAGCTCAGGAATAACAGAATAACAGAGTTGAAAGGGACTTTGGAGGTCTTCAGTCCAACCCCCTGCTCAGGCAGGAAAACTGAGGATGCCAAAATCTGAGTGGAGGGCCTGGGAAATGTGTCAGAAAAGCAGAATAATACTTAGAAAGGACCTTGGGGGGGGGGAGACCTTATACCATTTCAGAGACTGTCCAGGCTTTTCTTAAAAATCTCCAGTGATCAAGCACCCAGAACAAACAGTTCCACAGGTTAATTGTTCTTACTGTCAGGAAGTCTCTCCTTAGTTTTAGGTTGCTTCTCTCTTTGTTCAGTTTCCATGTATTGCTTCTTATTTTGCCTTCTGCTGCTTTGGAAAATACATTGCCCCCCCTCTTTTTTTTTTTTTTTGTGGCAGCCCCTCAAAAGTCTGTTTTGTAACCTGCCTGTCACATTCTTGGACAAAGTATATGAGTCATTTCCTCCTTTCAATGGTCCATGAAAGTACATCTATAGTATGTAGATGCACATAATAAAGTCAAAAAAGCTGAACATTTTTACAGAACTATAGATACGTTGAGGCCTTTGAGGTGAGCGGCCAGGATGTGAGGTGAGGCATGACAAGGAGTAGCTGGGTGGGGAGGGGTGAGGCATGGTGAGGAGTGGCCCGGACGAGGCAAGGCACCCCTCAATGTGAATGACTTCGAGTTGGCCACGCTTACCCAGTCACATGACCACCCAGCCTCACCCACCCAGTTGATCATTAGGGCAGATAACCGGTTGTTAAATTATTTGAATCCCACCACTGGGTGGGATCCTGCAACAATACCTTTAACATCACCAAACATCAACACCTGTCTACCCCAGGTCTTAGGGAAGGACTCCATAAAGGACAAAATGCCAAATCCAGTCTAAACAACTGGCCGACTGTGTGAGGGAACAATAAGGGTGGCACTCTTATAAACCATAACATGAGATGAAATTTACAGAAACTGTCAGCCTTCCAGAAATTTTCCTGACATCTTTTGCTGCTTGACTCTTTCCGGCTTCCATGGAAATGGGGGGAGGGGTAATTTGGTATTGAGGAGGGGAAGGGTGCTAGAGGCGAAGATGTGTGAATTGAAAAGAATGGGACACTTTCCTTCTTACTGCACAACTGCACCCACTTATCTTTTCTAGGCCAAGGTCAATCGTCTTGGTATACCAGATGTGTGAGACACCACCTGAAGATGTACCTCACATGACATTATACACACTTCAGATTAGATGTCCACTTTGAACTCCTGGGGGAGGGAACTTGGGATAACTTTCAATATGTAATTTCTCTGCCTATTTGCCTCAGAACTTGCTTTCCTTTTGTTGCTATCATTTCAAATCCAGTAAAAGTACTTTTCTCTAATTTAATGGAGTCTAAGGTTTTCTTTCTTGGATTCTGAACGGACCCACAGCTGGCAGAAACACATACCAAATGAGTTTTTACCTGATCACATTGTATGCTGGAGCAACAAGGGCTAGCAGCTGCAGGACTACTGGAAGAAATTGTTTGCCTATCCCAAATATAGAAAGACTGAAAATGAAGAAAAAGTGATCTGTTATTACCAGTTGAACACCATTGGCACTGAAAAATTCACTATCAGTCAATTGCAAAAGGCAACTTCACTAAAAACAACTTACATCCTGAGATGATACCTTGAACCTCATCAAACACCCACATCTGCCTATCCCAGCTCCTTTGCAAGGACGCGATAGGTGGATAAAGATACCAAATTAGATCTAAATACCTTGCTGACTGTGCAACAAACTGTAATTTATTAAACTTGTATGTTACACAACTATGACACTAGGCAGCTCATTAGGATAAAACAATAAGATAAGAAATCACAACAAAATCACAACAAAACCTCTGGAGGCTCCCTGGAAGCCAGACACAGGCCCATTTCCAGCCTTCCCAAACTTCTGGGAGGCATGTTTTTCACCCTCTCCGAACCTCTGTGCATGCCCTGCACTTACCTGCATCCAAAACGGGCTGCGTGAGGGACTCCTGGGAGGGGAGGGGTGGGTGGGGCCAGGTAGGAGTGGGATTTGGGGATTCTCCGAACTGTACAGAATCTTAGCTAGGGGCTCTCCCAAACCCCTGAGACCCCCCAGCAGCCCACCCATTGGCAGGAAGTTCTGAAGAATGCACCCAGAGAGGCACTATCAATAGGACCCTTGGCCTGTATGAGCTGACAAGAAATCTCTGACTTGAGAGAAACATTACAATAGAGGAATTTCTGCCCAGCAGAAAATGCCTTGTGTTAGGAATATAAATCACCTAACAGGTATTTGGGTTGGAAATATATAAACCAGGATAGACATTTTAATACTGTATCTTTAAAAGAGTCCTGGAGGTATAATTGGGTGTGGTTTCTCAAACGGCCATAAGATGGAGCCAGAAACCTGGGTTGTTTAGTCTTAGTCTTAGTCTCAGAAGAAGTCTCAGTGAGTCTCTGTTTTCCTTCTGTTGGAGAGTTTTGCCGTTCC